TCATTTGTCTGACTTTTTTGGGTTATCCTAGGTTCTCTACACATATGCTGCTATGTATGATAATTCTATGTAGCTGTATTTGTGTATACCTGAATAAACTTACTAAATGTCCGTTACTTTGTAAAAAGTTAATATAAAGGATAATCATTCAGAAGGCTGCACTTAATGCCTTAAAAGGCCGCAGGTTCCCCAACCCTGGACTATATACTATACACAGAGGTGCGTATATACTACATCGAGATGCATATATATGTCGTGCCGAATACGTAAAACTTGTGATTTTGGCTTAAATAGCAACGCACTTCTTGCCGAATAGGGCAAACGAAAATTTGTGTATGCCATAACTTCGCAATAATTACTCTGAACCTAAGCCCTTGTGGTTTAGCGCTTTTTTTTATTATAATAATATTCTGAACCTAATGAAAAAAAATCTGGGTTTATTATTAAATTATTGTAACCCTATATAAAATATATTTAGTTGGATTAGGCTAAATTAAATTGCACTTGTTATAATAAGGTTAGGCAAGTTTCCTAAGGTTCTTTTGGTACAAAATCATTGATTTTTATATTAACATAAATGAAAAAATATCTTTAAATGTATAAGAGAATTTTAGAAAGGACTTAATTTTAAATGAGTTCTTGCTAATTGACCAATTTTACTTATTCGGCACGACATTATATTAATAATATATATAATATATATATATATATATATATATATATATATATATATATATATTATATATAATATAAATATTATGTAATAACTTATATAAAATCATTATATAAATATATCAATATTAAATATATATATATAATATATATATATAATAATATATATATATTATATTATTTAATAAATATATATATATATATAATTATATAATATATTTAATATATTAAATTATCTATATTAATAATATTATATATTATATATATATATATATAAATAAATAATTATTATATATATATATATAAATTTATATAATATATATAATATATATATATATATATTATATATATATATATATATATATATATATATATATATATTATATATATATATATATATATATATATATATATATATATATATATATATGAAGAGCTAGCTTAGCGCTCCTTCTTTATAATAACAATATATTGATATGCGTTTATACGCGATGATTTTAATACAAATCTTAGGATTAAAGTTCCCTCGAGGAAGGCTCCTTGATGCTGGTGAGGGGCTCTTGATCTAGAGAATTAGATCTGTGCTCCAGTTCCCTGAATTAAACCTAAATACCTTCCACATCCCCCCACAGGCGCTGTATAATCCTACGGGTTTAGCGCTTCCCCTTGATTACAATAATAGGGATTAAAGTATTCTTGAATAGTGGTGAACATTATGCATTCAACGTTGCTTAGCACTGGATGACTGGTTTGTTAGGTCTAAAGCCTATCAACCACTTGACGATCATTATGGCTGTATATATCACCTCTACAATAGCCAGTGATACTTCAATCCCTTAAAGTATATATACACTGCTGCTCTCAATACATCCACATTAAGGGATATATACTCACCAGAATACATACAAAATGAACATCCCATAGCATATAGTGTATTAAATCAAGGAAAGGCCCCATGTGTCGCCAGAGTGTATAGTGTCTCAACAGTCAGAAACTAGTAATTGACGACCAAGTTTAGTGGTGTGGTTCCTGCTAGGCTGCTAGTCTTTCATCTTGGCTGTATCACCTCTAAAATGAATATCTTCCCCTTACTTCACTCTCACTCAATACATCAATTGGTAATCCCCCTAATACTCTCCCACTTGTGTAAAACGGAAAGGAACAACGGTTCGGTGAGGCTATGTTATGCTAAATATTAACCAGCTTAGTGGGTGGGGAGGCTCAGTCTTACTTGCTACCCATAATTTCCCCACTCACCATATTCGATTAGGACACTTAGTCCCTCTACTTGGTGTGTAGGCGAACAGTGTTCAGGTGCAGTGCTGTTCACCTTAATTTGGATTTAGGGGTAGGCAGATCCAGTCCGCGCTGTATTAACCTAGGCATGTAACTGTTGGGTGTGGAAGTAAGCCTCTTCTTAACTGGGGGTACTCAAAAAATCCTGTTTCGGGTCGAAATCAAGCCCGACCAATAGTATTATTAAAGGAACTATTAATGATGTGCAAGAACCAGCCTTTATTAGACCGGGGGAAAATAAAACGTAAGTGCAGTATATAAAGGATACTTTATTATAGGGTTATGACCTGGCTTTTTCAATACAAACAGATCAGTTTGTGACTTATTGATAGCCCACTGTGTGGGCGAAACGTAGTCAATAAAGGATCACATTATACTGCATGTGTTTATATTTCCATTGTGTCGGTATTTTATACCATTTATTTTATAGGATCCTGGGGAAAAGGATATAATGAGGCTTGATCCCAGGAATCAGAAGATATTCTAATTCCCTGAATCATGAACCCTGCACTAGCATCAAGGCGTCCCCCCCCCCATCCCTAGAAGGATGAGAGTATGTGAGGCTGATACTTGAATAAGATACACAAGGGAAGTACAGTGTACACTGAATGTAAAAAATTTAACAGGCTTCCGTTTAGCAGTGTACACTGAATGTAAAAAATTTAACAGGCTTCCGTTTAGCAATGATAAGAGGGTTGTAGCTCCCTGAATGCTTATTTACCAGGCTACTAAATAATGTATGCTTAACACATCACAAAATAGTACCCTTGTTTCGTTAACATTTCCTTCGCTAATCTTCATTTCGTTATATTTCATTTAACACGATGGTGATGGTTGTATTATTATTATTATTATTACAGCTGTATCATTAAGTGTGATGGTGTCACTGTAGCTAGGTTGGTGTCATCCAGAGGCACTCAATCTAAAATTACACCACGCTACCTCCCATACCCTGTCATGGTGACATGCCAGTGATGTGAGGAGACTGCTGGAGTGTGCACCGGAGCCACCACCTCTCTTACACCACTAACACACACACCATTGCCAACACACATGACAACCACTTAGCACCAATCTAACAAGAAAAGTTACTGATATTAGTTTTAAGTGCGAGTGGTGAACCTCACTCAGCTGTCTGGACTGGTGCTTAAAAAAAAAACACGTGAACAAACACCAGGACATATTGATTAGAAAACGTTTCGGTCCTGGGTGTTTCTGGACCTTTTATTTGCAACCAGCATGAGCGCAAGTTAAATTTATGATTAATTCAGCTGTAATAGTGACCACTGCAGACAAACGTGTGATGTATTAAGATAGTGATTACTTTCCTTGGTTTCCTGTAAGGTAAACGGTGAATTCCGTGAAGAGAATGCCGAGTAGTGTTGTGGTTGTGTCCTCTGGCATCTCCTACCACTTATGTTTGTGTTGGTATGAAGCTTACCTCTGGAGTGACTTACTATATCCTGCTGCCCAAACCATGAGTTTTCAATGTGGGTGGTACTCGCCTAATTGTACTCACCTGATTGTGGTTGCAGGGGTCGAAACTCAGCTCCTGGCCCCGCCTCTTCACTGAACGCTACTAGGTCCTCTCCCTGCTTGTGTTTGTGTGTATATGTGTGTACTCGCTATTTGTGGTTACAGGGGTCGGTTCACAGCTCCTGGCCCCGCCTCTTCGCTGGTCGCTACTAAGTCCACTCCCTGCTCCATGACCTTTATAGTACCTCTTAAAGCTATGTATGGATCTTTCCTCCACTGCATCACTCTCCAGATTTTTCTACTTCCTGACAACTCTATGACCGAATACTTCCTAACATCCTTGTGACTCGTCTGAGTCTTCAACTTCCAGTTGTGACCCCTTGTTGCTGTGTCCCATCTCTGAAATATCCTGTCCCTATCCACCTTGTCAATCCCTCTCAGTATTTTATATGTCGTTATGATGTCTCCCTATCCTTCCTGTCTTCCAGTGTCACCAGGTCGATTTCCCTTAACCTTTCCTCGTAGGACATACCCCTTAGCTCCGGAACTAGTCTTGTTGCAAACCTTTGCACTTTCTCTAATTTCTTGACGTATTTGACCAGGTGTGGGTTCCATACTGGTGCTGCATACTCCAAACTGTGCCTGACGTACACCGTGTACAGTTTTGAACGATTCCTTACTAAGGTGTCGAAACCCTATTCTTAGGTTTGCCAGGCGTCCATATGCTGCAGCAGTTATTTGGCTGACATACGCCTCAGGAGATGTGCTCAGTACACTTACCCCAAGATCCTTTTCCTTGAGTGAGATTTCCAGTCTTTGGTTCCCTAGACAGCACTCTGTCTGTGGTCTTCTTTGACCATCCCAATCTTCATGACTGTGCACTTGGTAGTGTTAAAATCCAGGAGCCAGTTGCTGGACCAGGCTTGCAGCCTGTCAGATTTCTTTGTAATCCTACCTGATCCTCGAGTGTGTGTATGTGCGTATGCGTGCTTGTCCACGCGCTCACCAAGCTATGTTCGCTAGGGTCAACAGTTCATTCCTGCATTTCGACTTCAAATACTTAGATATTTTCTGGTTTCTGGGCTTTGTGTCGAAATTGTCTGTAGTAGGTAGTTTGGGCCAGGAGGCCTATTGTGGTGTTCCTCCGTTCTTATGTCAGTAAAACAACGACTGTGAAAAAATAAGTGAAATTCAAAGCGCTTTTGTGATTTTTCACATTATCTAGGCCCTTGATAATGTGAGAAATCACGAAAGCGCTTGGGCTTTCACTATTTTTTTTCACAGTGGTTGTCTTGCATATTGTGATATCACCTGTTTACTGTGATCTTATTGCATGTTCTTATATAAGTGTAACGAAACTAATATATTGCGTGATGGGCTCCTCTCCGTTGTGACTAGAGCCTATGTTGTGTCTAGGCCACAGTTACTCATAAGACTATAATATAGCCACAATGGAGGATCATGCATCTATTGTGACTATACCTCATAGTCTTTGTTATAAATTATACTCTCATCCTTCTCATATCTACTTGTTTCGCCTCTTCTGTCTGCAACAGGTGTCCAGCAGGAGCACTCCAAGCCAGGAGGAAGACAAATATCAGACTTCTGTAGCCACAGAAGGCAGCGACTGGGTGGCAGGGAAAACAGGAACAGCAGTAGGTGTGGGAAGAAGGCCGCCCACGACCCCGCCTCCCGTATATGCAGAGGAGAGGTCAGCCACAAGGCCAGGGTCAAATGCTCATGGTACAACATATACTAGAGATATTCTCACACAGCAAGACACACATGTGCCGAAAACAAACCAAAGTCTCGAGGCGGATAAGCAAGGAACTCAACAGGTGAGTGGGTCGAGCGTATCGAAAAACACAGAGAGGGTGCCATGGCAAGGTAGTGGTGGTGGCGGAGGTAGAGGTGGGGCGCGAGCCAGGGATAACACCAGGCCGGTCAGTCTTGTCCTGCTTGATGGTGCACCAGGCGACGCCGTAAGGCACCACACACCCATGAACCTCATCCTTGATCCCTGCAGTTCTGATGCCTTGTCACATCAAGTATCAAAATTCCAAAGAAATGGTTCATCTGGTCCTCGTCCTCGGCCCACTAGCCTCGATGTGTCTCAGGAGGGATCTCTCTTGAAGAACCTGAGGAAAAGCAGTCCAGTGGATGCACTCAAGGACAGATTTCTAAGTCATTTGACTCCTACAAGTGAATCGTCACCTAGTCTTACAGACGTGCACTATATTCCTGTAGCAGTAGAGGCCAACAAGACTGTCCGCACGAGTGGTAATGTTGGCGAGGTCACACAGGCTTCTCGTGCAGCTGCCGAGGTGCCGCTGTCTCAACGTCGTGGTAGAGGCGTGAATACTCTTGTGATAGCGGATGATGATCAGAGCAGCACAACATCTAGTCAGGCGAGTACAGCCACAGAAGAGGACAGCAGTGCTACAGTGTCACGTGCAGGTAGCCAGGGTGGTGTTAACAACGAGGACGAGTGGAGGCTGCCCAGGAAGGCTGCCCACCTGGCAGATAAGACCATAACTGGCAACTCCAGTGTTCTGAATCTTTGTCCTGACCTGCCCAAGTCGCAACACTCTTCCAGCACTAGTAGTAGCAGTGCTGACTCACGCGCTAAGCTTGATGGTATCGCCAGTGGTGGTGTGTGTGGTGGGTTTCAGCTAAAGCCCAGCCCACGCTTATCCTCCCCATCAGACTCGGATCCAGACGTCGATAAGATCATCAGTCACGCTGAACGGGTCATCGAAGAAACGAGGAGATTATCGGCTAGCTCCACTAATGACCTCCCACCTGTGAATGATTTAGGCCAAGTTAAACCAAACAGAATAAAGAGAGAAACCGTGAAGCATACCTCTAAACTACCAGGATTTAATTTAGCTCCAAACATAGAGACTCGGGCCTCGCCTGAGTCCAACTTTGTCGAGATACAAGACGAAGACTCTGAGGAAGAGGTTAAAACAAGTGATAACGAATCACAGGTGGTGGTAGAGGGCTGCCTTTCTATACCACTGCCTAGGTCGGTGGGCCGCCCCCGCCCACCTCAACACAAGCCCCCATCCGAACAGTGGCCTCGCCGCCCACTGCCCACACATGTTGCTACACCGCCCACTGGTAGCAACTCTCTGATCATTGAGGCTGTTGACGATAATGATGACGTCGCCCAGTGTGAGGAAGTTAAGCCCACAATAGTAACGAGTCCAGAAATACAGAGTAGTGACGTCATGGGTTGTGCACGGGAGAGGGGGCGGGGGGGTACCAAGGCCCCCACGCCCCTGCAGGAGCCGCCCCCACCCAGCACCTTCACACATCAAGACCAGCCCACCACCGCACCTCGCCGCCCCTCCAGCCGCGAGAGGATGGGCGGCCTATTCTCACGTGGGCGCTCTGACGACCCCGCCCGTCACACGCCGCCCACCACACCAACTGTCACAACTACCACTAGAAATAAGGCTCCCTCACCGACGCCTTCCACGCCCACACGCACGCCCAAGCTGCGTGAGCGTTCCTGCACGCCACAGAAGAGCCGCACCTGCCACCATATGTTAGGCAAAAGTCGGACACTTCAAAAAGACACAGTGGCTTCAGTCACGTACAGTCCGACAATGTACGTAAGATGCGTGAAGCTTGGAGCTTCAAGCAGGAGTCCCCAGTGCAGCAGCGGCGGGGCGTAGGCGTGCACCCTAGCCCACCGCCCTCACCAAGGCGCGCCCACGACTCACCGGGGAGGTCCTCCTCCAGAAGCACACCCACGCGAGACACAGCGATCAGAAGCACGCCACACGAGATACAGCGGGCAGAAGCACGCCCACGCAAGACACAGCAGGCAGAAGCACGCCCACACGAGATACAGCGGGCAGGACGCCCACACGTGATACAGCAGGCAGAAGCGCGCCCACGCGAGAGACAGCGGGCAGAAGCACGCCCACGCGAGAGACAGCGGGCAGAAGCACGCCCACGCGAGAGACAGGGACTAGGTCGCCCACTAGGAGCAACAACTATCACAACTCCACATTCAGTAGTAGAAGTAGAAGCAGTTCATCTCCACGTCGCTCCAGCACATCAAGCAGTGATGGTGCTGCTGCTGCGCCTGGAGTCCGCAATGGTGGCAGCAACACTTATGCCACAGCTAAGTCAGGGCGGCCACTGGCGGACACTTATAGCTCAGGTGCGGCGACGGCGGCTGGTAGCAGAGCGTCGGCCCGCCCGAGCCGCCCGGCGCCCGCCACCACCACCGCCGCCCTCAGACACGCCGCCCGCCTCGCCTTTCCACCAAAAAATATTCCGGAGACTACGGGACTCGAGTCTTCAACCTGACAGTGAGACCATCTGCTTCACCGAGGAGGCTGACAGATACAAGGTAAGTATAATAGTTGTGTGTGTGTGTGTGTGTGTGTGTGTGTGTGTGAATTGAAAACCAGCTTGCTGATGATAAAATACAAAACAGGGATTTGTTGTCGGTCAACAATGAACCAAAGTAAAAACTATTATAACAAGAATATGTATTAAAAATACCACACTTAAAATCTCAGCAGGAATGTGTCTGAATGCTTTGGTTTTTACACATATCTTGAGAGGACTGACCGTTCCTCTCAAGATCTAAGTGTTAGCGCATGCAAGCGGTCAGGTATTCCTGTTTATTTTTCACTTTGATAATTTACTGTGAATTCTTCCACGAATAAGTATATAAGTAAAGACCAACGAGGAGATTAAAAGTGGAGTAAATAGTGGTGCGCATGTGTGTGCTTTATTATAGTGCTCAGTCACTCGGTCCACTTTCATTTTCTCCTCGTGGTCAACACTTGTCTTCCACATTATATATAGTTTACACACACATACACCTGTATATATGTATGTATGGGGGGATGGGGAAAAGTCTGCGTCTAGGTGCAAATGTGATAACTCCTATCTTCGGAAATCAAATAAAATGGCCTCAAGGAGAATTATTGAGACTTCTCCGCGAGGCTGCTTGAATATTCCACATCTTTTGTACATAAACATACATGAATGATTTATTGTGTAAAATGGTACATAAGGTGTAAAAGAAACATTGATGAAACAACATGACTGGCATGAAATACAATATTTAATATAATGAATAGTTGGCATGAAATACACTATTTTATAAAACGATGGTATTGTATAAAAAATTCAGTCAAAGATCATTAATGAAGGAAGGAAAGACTGTGTTGCAGCTGGAGTGTGAGGATCAGGTCAGCAATATACAAATATAGTTCACCATAGTCAATGTGAAAGTACTCGCTAACCTGCTTAGAGCCAGCACAAGGTATCCCCCCTCCCTACTTCCCCTCTCCAGAGCCTCCTTCCTTCTCCTCCCCATCATCCAGAACCTTCCCCTTACCCTCGACCCCCCTCCCTCTTCCTCCACGATAACCTCAAGCCTCCATCATGGCACATCCGGAAGAGATGTTGTCCTTCGGCAAGGCAACAGTCAGGTGTACATATGTACGTGTGCTTGGCTAAGACGACAGTCAAGTGTACATGTACGTGTGTTTAGTCAAAACAACAGTTGTGTACATGTGTTATTTAAGACAAGTCACGTGTACAGTACTGGTTAGAAAATCTGACGAGAAATGCCAATCATATATGTACTTAAGAGAAAAATTCCCTTGACAAGCTGTCTACCCACCTATTAATAATGACCTTTTCCAATACTCAACTGTTTATTTCTATTTAATTTTTCGTATTATTTCTTAAAGTAGACTATATTTGTATATTTCAATTATTCTTCAAGATTCCTTTCTTCAACTATTTTTTAATATTATCATAGAGAAATAATTGATATACAATAAACAAGAATTGTATAATAATCCCATCCTGATATATCTTTTCAGACTATCACTGTCTTTTTCCCATATAAACTTTGATTCATCGTAGTATATATATATAATATATATATATATATATATATATATATATATATATATATATATATATATATATATATATATATTAAATTGTATACATCAGTAGTGTGCTGCTACCCTATTATGTATGATAGTTACATAGTGGGAACAAAAGCTTACTTACTAAGCTATGTTTCCTTGTTATATTCTATACACAGGATGGATTATAAATATACTGTTGAAATGTGCCAGCCTGAGCTAGAGACTTCCGTAGGACAATGAAAATATCGACAAGTATTCCATCAAAGGTTCATGAGCTGCTACAGCTTCAAAAATTTCCTTCCAGCAGAACTGGAGTTATTACTTGGGAGTTACCATCTCTCAGGATAACTTATCGCATAACACTTCGTGTGTGAGGAATGGGGAAAGACTGTGTAGGATAAGGGAAGACTTCGGGGAACCTGTGGTAGGGAAGTATCAGCGTCAACCACTACTAGTAAACAAATAATGCGCCACACTCACCTATAATTATCCACGTGTGGCTCCCACACATCCGCTGGCCCGCTGCCGGCTGCCCGCTTCCCTCTTGCCCACAGTATTGTGGATTTTAAGATTTTTGCCTTGAAGGCGAGTTTATTGGCGACGCCACTCATCCTGCGAGTGAACATTCAGTTTTAATGACTACAAATAGCTGATCAGCCACTAGTGATATAAAGTCCATCCTTAAGTTTTAGTATACAGGTATCACTACCTTTACAAATATCCTTTCTAATTTCACCAAATCCTGGACATTTTTTTAAATACGACGAATCTCGGCTAGCCAATGCTTATATTGCTCAAAACTGATTATGGCCTTAATTTTATATTCTTGAAGATATAATGCTGGATAGTGTTCATTATCCTCTTTCCCACACACTACATTGTCTGTCCTCTCTTGCAGTTGTTCTCATATATACAACTAATATAAATAATTTTTATTTCAAATCTTCTTAGCATAAAGATAGGTTTCATCTAATACAACCCTGTACACATTCAATATTGTGTAACATACTTGTCTTTATACACCGAGAGGTGTATGTGTATATTATTATTATTAATGAATTTTGCGCATGCACACACACACACACACACACACACACACACACACACACACACACACACACACACACACACACACACACACACACACACACACACACACAATATATATATATGTCGTGCCGAATATGTAAAACTGGTCAATTAGCAAGAACTCATTTAAAATTAAGTCCTTTCTAAAATTTTCTCTTATACGTTTAAAGATATATTTTTTTCATTAATGTTGATGTAAAAATTTATAATTCTGCACCAAAAGGAACTTAGAAAACTTACCTAACCTTATTATAACAAGCGCAATTTATTTTAGCCTAACCCAACTAAATATACTTTTGATTTGTTTACAATAATTTAATACTAAACAAACCCAGTGAAATATATTTTTTTTGTTAGGTTCAGAATGATTTTGGTGAAATTATTGCATACACAAATTTTCACTTGTCCTATATGGCAAGATGAGCGTTGCTATTTAAGCCAAGATCGCAAGTTCTGCCTATTCGGCACGACATATACATATATATATATATTTTTTTTTTCAACAAGTTGGTCGTCTCCCACCGAGGCAGGGTGACCCAAAAAAGAAAGAAAATCCCCAAAAAGAAAATACTTTCATCATTCAATACTTTCACCACACTCACATTATCACTGCTTTTGCAGAGGTGCTCAGAATACAACAGTTTAGAAGCATATACGTATAAAGATACACAACATATCCCTCCAAACTGCCAATATCCCAAACCCCTCCTTTAAAGTGCAGGCATTGTACTTCCCATTTCCAGGACTCGAGTCCGACTATAAGAAAACCGGTTTCCCTGAATCCCTTCACTAAATATTACCCTGCTCACACTCCAACAGATCGTCAGGTCCCAAGTATCATTCGTCTCCATCCACTCCTATCTAACACGCTCATGCACGCTTGCTGGAAGTCCAAGCCCCTCGCCCACAAAACCTCCTTTACCCCCTCTTTCCAACCCTTTCGAGGACGACCCCTACCCCTCTTTCCTTCCCCTATAGATTTATATGCTTTCCATGTCATACTACTTTGATCATTCTCTCTAAATGACCAAACCACCTCAACAACCCCTTTCTGCCCTCTGACTAATGCTTTTATTAACTCCACACCTCCTAATTTCCACACTCCGAATTTTCTGCATAATTTTTTACACCACACATTGCCCTTAGACAGGACATCTCCACTGCCTCCAACCGTCTCCTCGCTGCTGCATTTACCACCCAAGCTTCACATCCATATAAGAGTGTTGGTACCACTATACTTTCATACATTCCCTTCTTTGCCTCCATAGATAACGTTTTTTTACTCCACATATACCTCAACGCACCACTCACATTTTTTCCCTCATCAATTCTATGATTAACCTCATCCTTCATAAATCCATCCGCCGACACGTCAACTCCCAAGTATCTGAAAACATTCACTTCTTCCATACTCCTTCCTCCCCAATTTGATATCCAATTTTTCTTTATCTAAATCATTTGATACCCTCATCACCTTACTCTTTTCTATGTTCACTTTCAACTTTCTACCTTTACACACATTCTCAAACTCATCCACTAACCTTTGCAATTTTTCTTTAGAATCTCCCATAAGCACAGTATCATCAGCAAAAAGTAACTGTGTCAATTCCCATTTTTGAATTTGATTCCCCATAATTTAATCCCACCCCTCTCCCGAACACCCTAGCATTTACTTCTTTACAACCCCATCTATAAATATATTAAACAACCATGGTGACATTACACATCCCTGTCTAAGACCTACTTTTACCGGGAAGTATTCTCCCTCTCTTCTACACACCCTAACCTGAGCCTCACTATCTTCATAAAAGCTCTTTACAGCATTTAGTAACTTACCACCTATTCCATAAACTTGCAACATCTGCCACATTGCTCCTCTATCCCCTCTATCATATGCCTTTTCTAAATCCATAAATGCAATAAAAACTTCCCTACCTTTATCTAAATACTGTTCACATATATGCTTCAATGTAAACACTTGATCTACACATCCCCTACCCACTCTGAAGCCTCCTTGCTCATCCGCAATTCTACATTCTGTCTTACCTCTAATTCTTTCAATTATAACTCTACCGTATTATTATGCAAAACAATCACAGGGTAGTTGGTTGAAAGATAGTTCTAGGCCTTTCATGTTGCAATCAACACATCAGGACCTTGCAGTGTTGCAGAAATGAGTAGGAAGTTCAGGTAGAAGCGACTCAAGCTAGGATGAGATGGTATCAGGCAGACCAGTACCAGGTGCCAGAAAGATGAAGGCAAGGTGTTAAAAGCAGTTGCAGTAAAAGCATATAGCAGCCCATCGACATTAAATATTTAGTAATAACACAGCAGCCACAATATTAGTGACTTGACAACTATTACACATATGCCGAATAATTATAAAAGACTTAAATATTCTAATCTCAAATGTATCTGGCATCTATCAGTTGGGGAAATTCCACCGCAAAGAAAATGGGGAAGCAGGAAATAGGGAAAAACCCTCCTATTTCCAGAGGCTGGCCTAATTCACCCTCAGGTAAATGCTGGTTTAACCATAAGACTGATTGGGAGCAGCAAAGGATATTCAATTCGTCAATGTGGAGTTGCATTTATGACAACGAAATATTATAGAATCAGCAATTATTAAACATGATAAAATTCATTATATAATAATAGTGGTGGTTTATTCAAACACGATAACTTTATAAGTGAAGGCATTATACACAATCTGAAGCAGAATTCCTACCTGAACTCGCTGGAGTGTCGTAAACGCAGCTCTACACTGACGAATTGAGTATCCTTTGCTGCTCTCAATCTTTTGGATAAACCAGCATTTACCCGAGGGTGATTATTATTATTATTATAATCAAGGGGGAAGCGCTAAACCCGGAGGATTATACAGCGCCCGGGGGGGATGTGAAAGGCATTCAGGCTTTATTCGGGGAACTGGAGCACAGATCCAATTCCCTAAATCAAGAGCCCCTCACCAACATACCCGAGGGTGAACTGGGCCAGCCTCTGGAAATAGGAGGGTTTTTCCCTATTTTCCTGGGTTATTAACCCAAGAAAATCAGTGAGGTTTTTAATTTCCATCGAGGTTTTTACATCCTCTCTTAGAGTGTGACCCAACAGTCGACCAACTCGCATATTTATTTGATGTTCAGCGCACCGGGGCAGCAGGTGTTGGCCAGAGGTCTCGCCCAGAATTATTACTGGTTCCTAATGTTGTGGCCTGTGGAACATGTCAACTATTATGTGTCATACCTCGTATAACAACGTATTCATCAATATTTACAATCTTTAATGCGTGCACATGCTTGACATTATATTCGTACGTGTTAAAGAGTTCTTAGCAGACACATATTGTAATGCATTTAACTTAGGGGGTTATGTACATGTGTGACACGTATGCGGAAATTTACCCCTATATTAATGTGCTTGATGTTAACACGAAATATCTCACATTCATTATCTACCTTTTCGTGTTTTTTTTTTTTTTTTTTGTGGGTGTGCGTTAAATATAATGAATGTGTGGTAACCTTTCATTATTTGAGAAAAGACTAGGAGGTAAGATGATCACAACATAGGAAATACTCATATGCTTGACATATATTTAGTAAGTTTTGTTGCAGCTGGTGATGGACGTAGAAGAGTATGTACCTGGAGAGATCGAGGTCCTTCAGGATGACAAGCACCTGACGGTGAAGGGTCGAGTGGAGACCACGCAGGGAGGCAACACCACCACCAGGACCTTCCACAGAAATTTCCACATCCCTCACAACACCCGCGAGGAGGACATTGACTCGGCACTCTCAAGAGATGGCATCCTGACCGTCTACGTCCCCAAGAAGGTAAGTCTTCTTAGGTTCTACCTGTCTATAACTAGAAGCATCATATTTGAACATTCAACATAGAGGACATTAAGAAGAGAAAGGAAACTGTATTATCTCACGTTGAATTAACAGGTTATATATTTTGTGTACTAAACGCTGTCTGCGATGAATATCATTAACAAAAAGGAACAGTATACAGAATTTGGGTGATTGTGTGTGTGTGATGTATGTGTGTGTGCAAACAATCGCAGACAGGCGATCTTAATAATACAAAACAAGCCACGGAAGGAGGGGGTTGAAATCTTTAGTCAAGTACTTTGCACACTTCTCAGTGCGTATCAGAGCCATTGGAAAGTGCAAGGCAAACTGAAGGATGTGAGTGTGAGTTTTTCCTCAGAGTAGCGCAGTGCAGCAGGTGTTGACCTGCATGTGTGCTCTAAGGAAAACCCTCTACTGACCTTCAGTTGTTGCCTTGCACTTTGTATAGCTCCTGATGACACTGAAATTGTGAAAGTACTTGAGCTAAAGATCTCACCCCCGTGGTTGTCTGCGTATATAATATTATATATAGTATATATATATAAGATTTATATATATAAATATATAAGATAAATTTTACTTACTTTCACTTCTTTCTTTCAAACGCAACCAGCCATATCCATTGAGAGTGGGTGGCCAAAGGATAACAAAAGTTTCAGCCTTTTAAATTTAGTAATATATACAGGAGAAGGGGTTACTAGCCCCTTGCTCCTTGCAGCATTTTAGTCGCCTCTTACAACACGCATGGCTTACGGAGGAAGAATTCTATTCCACTTCCCCCATGGAGATAAAGGAAATAGACAGAAAAGAACTAGAAAGAAAACAGAAGAAAACAGAGGGTTTATATATATGCTTGTACATGTATGTGCATGTTGACCTAACTTGTAAAGTAGAGCACAATGAATACCTAAATCTTGCATGTTTATGAAACAGAAAAAAGACACCACAATCCTAAACCATCATATAAAACAATTACAGGCTTTCGTTTTACACTACTTGCAGGACGTAGTACCTCCCCTGGGCGGTTTTGCCTACGCAAACTTTCACCTATTAAATATATATATATATATAAGAATTATAATATTAATTTTATCATATACAAGATATTAATAATATATTTATTCCTATTATATATAAGATATATAATATAGAATAATACTAAAAGATATAAATATAACATATTTATATATATATTAATTATATATAAACTTAAGTAACACACACAACAACACACACACACACACACACACACACACACACACACACACACACACACACAAGCAAGACAAGCCGAATATGTAAAACTTACGATCTTGGCTTAAATAGCAACGCTCATCTTGCCATATAAAACAAGCTAAAATTTGTGTGTATGCAATAATTTCGCAAAAATCATTCTGAAGCTAACGAAAACAAATATATTTCATTGTGTTTGTTTAGTATTAAATTATTGTAAACGTATCTAAAATATATTTAGTTGGACTAGGCTAAAATAAATTGTGCTTGTTATAATAAGGTTAGGTAAATTTTCTAAGGTTCTTTTGATGCATGCAAAATAATTTTTTTTACATTAACATTAATGAAAAAATATATCTTTAAACGTAAAGGAGAAAATTTTAGGAAGGACTTAATTTTAAATGAGTTCTTGCTAACTGACCAGTTTTACATATTAGGCACAACATATATTATTGTTATATATATATATATATAATATATATATATATATATTATATAATATATATATAGTATATAGTATATAATAATATTATTTATATAATAATATATATATATATATATATTATATAGTTTATTATATATAAATATAATTATATATATATATAATTATAATATATATAATAAATATATATATTATATATATATATATATATATAATATTATAGATATATAATATAATATATATATATATGTTGTGTTTGTATATTTCGCCTGCTCTCAGCGAATTCCTTGCGCGCGCACACACACACACACACTACACACAACACATATATATATATATATATATATATTATATATATATATATATATATATAATATATATATATATATAATCATAATATATGTAGGGTCCATCTCGTGAAAATTATGACCCACAGCTTCGGAGAAGTAAAATGACCTAAAAATCTTAAAGATTTCTCTAGAAATTTTAATATTTTGTTTCTCTTATCACCCTAGTTTTTTTAGCTAAGGATTTATTTTCTTGGCGCATGTATGTATATATTAGAGCAATATTTTAATACAGAGTATGAATCTCTTCTAACTCCTCAGAAGCTCAACAGGAAAAGAAAACGCAACCAACATTCCCGATCTGAATGACCACATTGAGGAGCTGGAACTAAAGTCCCCAGTAGAAAAGTCTCAGTCAACCTTCCCTGGACGAGCCACAGTGGAAGCAAACAATATTTCCAGTGCATTAGTACGGCCTCTCAAATTGCCTTCTTAGCCTTTTTATTCTCCAATGGATCCAATGAACCGGTGAAGCAAATTCTACCAGAACATGTACGTAACTCAGTGGGAAGTGTGACCCCAGCTACACCACTAGTACCTGCATGTGGGAGACAAACAGCAAAACAGGAGCATCCTAGAACTTCTGCACCTATCTAAGAAGGTGCAAATTCCAAACTGGATAGAGCTCGCCTCTTGGCTATTAGTGAATGTCACTCTTCCCAACTCCGTGACTGGTATACGTCTCGACCCTCAGTGACTCCATGGCTTGCCGTCCCCATTCACACTTAAGAGTACAAGTGTTTTGCTGCAAAGTGGTAGCTGACCAATATTGTCTACATGATCTAAATTTTGCAAGTTTCCGTTTACAATGAAGTCAATGAAATCAAGAGATGCCTAGCTACAATGTAGTGTTCTGCCGAGAGAGAACCTCGATCTTTATTAACTAGCAACCCAAGTACTGTTGCCAATATCTAGTGTAGGAAAATACACGTGTAATTACCCTAACCGACACTTGCATTCAATTTATTGTTGATCAACAAGGTAATGTTGATCGAAAGGAATAACACGGGCTCAATAACACAAGCTTTGTTCTATTAGCTAATTCTCATAGACTTTCGGCCTTTACTGTGCCATGGATTCCCTCAAACAGCCGGATTCTAGTGCCTTCACTCTGAAGGATGGGTTACCTGGAGGTTACCTGGAGGTTATTCCGGGGATCAACGCCCCCGCGGCCCGGTCCATGACCAGGCCTCCCGATGGATCAGGGCCTGATCAACTAGGCTGTTACTGCTGGCCGCACGCAGTCCGACGTACGAGCCACAGCCCGGCTGATCCGGCACCGACTTTAGGTGCCAGGGGTTTATTGGCAATTCCCCTAATGCTTGATGGGAGGCTGTTGAACAGTTTTGGGCCCCGGACACTTATGGTGTTTTCTCTTAGTGTACCAATGGCGCCCCTACTTTTTATTGGCGGCATTTTGCATCGCCTGCCCAGTCTTTTACTTTCGTAGGGAGTGATTTCTGTGTGCAGATTTGGGACCATTCCTTTCAAGATTTTCCAAGTGTAGATTATGATATATCTCTCCCTCCTGCGTTCCAACGAGTACAAGTCAAGTGCTTCCAAGCGTTCCCAGTAGTTAAGGTGCTTGACAGAACTTATACGTGCAGTAAAGGATCTCTGTACACTCTCTAGATCTGCGATTTCACCTGCTTTGTATGGAGATGTTAATGTACAGCAGTATTCCAGCCTAGAGAGAACAAGTGATTTGAAAAGGATCATCATGGGCTTGGCATCTCTCGTTTTGAAAGTTCTCATTATCCATCCTATCATTTTCTTTGCAGTGGGTGGGGATGTCTAAGCTCGGTTATTTGAAATGTGAAATATGCACATTTCTGGCAAGATAACCGTTAAGTAAATATTAGTGAATGTTTCCTTCTTTGGTCAGCCTACTTTAATTGAAGACGGCCGATACAGTAAAAAATATATATATACCACTGTACAAATTAAAGCAATATTACAACTATTTCATCTGTATCTCAGTTATGTGCTAATAATTGTTCTTTTACATTTACAGAAGGAGCGAGTAATAAGAATAGAACTGACGGACTAACTGTAAAGAACAGTGAGTGACGGAGGCTTACACTGCGTAGTGGCTGACGTAGGCCAACACGGCGATGACAGCAACATATCAGTCCTGCCAGTGACACCATGATTCTCTCAGTGTATCAGATACAACAGGCAGGGGTGTAGCAAGATCAACTGGTACACACCCAACACTGAGACCACCGCTCCGTCTCACTGATGGGGGAGAGGACGCTCGCCATGGTCATAGTGCCAGATTCACAATTTTGTGAGGAGACACCACCGCTAGTAGCAGTACACGCCAGCAGTTGCTTCTTGTCGTACATTTGCACGATCATCGTATGACACAAACCATGTCAAGTGGTTTTCTCAGTGGACTTTAGCACCAAGGCTTCATTCACTACGCCATTATGGCTCGCCATTCACTCTTAAGTCGTTGCATTTGTAACATCACGCTAATTGCGGTTGCATCCTGCCACAACATCGTGCAAGCACAATTAGCGTGATGTAATGAAGGGTCTCGTAAGTCCAGTCGAATTTGTGGGGGCTAGAAATACATGACAAAGTCCCTAACTGCACAGTCACTCTAGTGTACTAATTTAACCACCAGGAATTATCACATGTAAGGTCCAGCATCCTGTAGAGCTATAAATGACCCTTGGACATAGCCACATGCTTAGCTTTCTTGGTTTACTATGCCTCAGAGGGGTGACACATTGCCACTGGACACCAGTAATTCACTAGTGCCAGGAATAACCATCACGGCAGTGTCTTGATGGTGGACGCCTCCACCAAACAAACACAAGCCATCATAATAAATGCCAGTGTAATAACCCGGAATTATAACCAGCCAGAGAGCACAAGACAAAGTAACCTGCAATTATACTCAAGGTGAATGGTAAATGAGGATGTTAATTAGGTCTCACTAGTCGTATAGTAAATGTGTTTGATTGAATAAAATAGACCAACTCAAATAGAAATCATGTTTCCCTGCTTACGTCATGGTACATCAACGGAAATTAATCACTCGGTTCAATTCCAACTATAATTTACTTATCTGATACAAGAAAATGTTTATTGCACAATGTTTATTTCAAAAATATTAATAAAAAAATAATGAAAAAGCCTTATGATCAGAGCATTCTGGCAAACTTAACCTAGGTCTTAATAATTTTTTACATACTAACTGAAGTTCTCACAATTTTATTTCAGTACATACTAAGCTACTCACATAGATAACATTACAAACTTAGACTAGGTCTCACATAATACAGTACATACTAAGCTCTCACATAATATACAGTACAACTAAGCTCTCACATAATACAGTACATACTAAGCTCTCACATAATACAGTACATACTAAGGTCTCACATAATACAGTACATACTAAGCTCTCACATAATACAGTACATACTAAGCTCTCACATAATAATACAGTACATACTAAGCTCTCACATAATACAGTACATACTAAGCTCTCACATAATAATACAGTACATACTAAGGTCTCACATAATACAGTACATACTAAGCTCTCACATAATACAGTACATACTAAGCTCTCACATAATACAGTACATACTAAGCTCTCACATAATACAGTACATACTAAGCTCTCACATAAAACAGTACATACTAAGTCTCACATAATACAGTACATACTAAGCTCTCACATAATACAGTACATACTAAAGCTCTCACATAATTACAGTACATACTAAGCCTCACATAATACAGTACATACTAAGCTCTCACATAATACAGTACATACTAAGGTCTCACATAATACAGTACATACTAAGGTCTCACATAATACAGTACATACTAAGCTCTCACATAATACAGTACATACTAAGCTCTCACATAATAATACAGTACATACTAAGCTCTCACATAATACAGTACATACTAAGCTCTCACATAATAATACAGTACATACTAAGCTCTCACATAATACAGTACATACTAAGCTCTCACATAATAATACAGTCTACACACAGTAATAATACAGTACATACTAAGCTCTCACATATACAGTACATACTAAGCTCTCACATAATACAGTACATACTAAGCTCTCACATAATAATACAGTACATACTAAGCTCTCACATAATAATACAGTACATACTAAGCTCTCACATAATACAGTACATACTAAGGCTCTCACATAATACAGTACATACTAAGGTCTCACATAATACAGTACATACTAAGCTCTCACATAATAATACAGTACATACTAAGCTCTCACATAATAATACAGTACATACTAAGCTCTCACATAATACAGTACATACTAAGCTCTCACATAATAACAGTACATACTAAGCTCTCACATAATATACAGTACATACTAAGCTCTCACATAAATACAGTACATACTAAGCTCTCACATAATACAGTACATACTAAGCTCTCACATAATAATACAGTACATACTAAGCTCTCACATAATACAGTACATACTAAGCTCTCACATAATACAGTACATAACTAAGCTCTCCATAATACAGTACATACTAAGCTCTCCAATAATACAGTACATACTAAGCTCTCACATAATACAGTACATACTAAGCTCTCACATAATACAGTACATACTAAGCTCTCACATAATAATACAGTACATACTAAGCTCTCACATAATAATACAGTACATACTAAGCTCTCACATAATAATACAGTACATACTAAGCTCTCACATAATACAGTACATACTAAGCTCTCACATAATACAGTACATACTAAGCTCTCACATAATACAGTACATACTAAGCTCTCACATAAAATACAGTACATACTAAGCTCTCACAAATACAGTACATACTAAGCTCTCACATAATACAGTACATACTAAGCTCTCACATAATACAGTACATACTAAGCTCTCACATAATACAGTACATACTAAGCTCTCACATAATACAGTACATACTAAGCTCTCACATAATACAGTACATACTAAGCTCTCACATAATACAGTACATACTAAGCTCTCACATAATACAGTACATACTAAGCTCTCACATAATACAGTACATACTAAGCTCTCACATAATACAGTACATACTAAGCTCTCACATAATACAGTACATACTAAGCTCTCACATAATACAGTACATACTAAGCTCTCACATAATACAGTACATACTAAGCTCTCACATAATACAGTACATACTAAGCTCTCACATAATACAGTACATACTAAGCTCTCACGTAGATGTTGCTTATCTATTGTAAGTCGTAGCACTAATTTACTTTTCACATATGATTATATTGCTAGAATGTGATATGAAGAGACTAGTAAGATTGACTCCAGTCACAATCTTTGTTATAAGAATTATAATTTAAAATTATGTATATTGTGTATTTATCTCGTTTATCTTTTGTATTATAATCATAAAGCGCTAAATCCTTAAGGGTTATGCAGCGCTGCTGTTATGTATGGAGCTTTTATGTATCTCGTATGTAGCTTTTATATATGTATCTTGTGTATGTAGCTTTTATGTATGTTGTGTATGTAGCTTTTGTTTATGTATGCTGTGTATGTAGCTTTTATGCGGGTTTAGCGGTTAATAATTGTATTGTTACTGAGACGACCTCCTCTCCTCCTGCTGAGGTGTTTTTCTCTTACACAACATCTACACTTCCTTTCATGCTGCTGAAAGGTTCTTGATCCCAGGAGCTGTATGATTCCTGTGGGTTCAGCGCTACCTCGTGAAATAATATACCCGTTGTTTGCCAGGTTTGTGTTTGTCAGCAAATATACGGGTAGACAGCGATAAACTGCTAACCGTTTATCGCCTGAGGAATGGGAGGTGATCAGGTTCGCTTAGAGGAATGGGAGGGTAGCTTCAAATCCCTGAATCAAGAGCCCTTCACCAGCAACACGGTATCCCCCCCAATCACCTTAAAAGGGTATACAGGGAGGAGTGTGCAACGGAATTTGCAAGATCAATATGAAAGTAAACACACACACAAATGGTAAACAATTATCTGTCCATATACACAGATGAACACCACGATGTACGTACACACATTAGGTGTACCTACACACAGGTCAACACCTAGGTGTACCTACATGCAAAGGTAAGCACTTTAGGGAATCCTTCAAGACATTATATTTAACGTAGGTTAGACCTATTTTAGTACAGGCGGCACCAGCATGGAGTCTACATCAGAGGAAGCCTCTTAACCAACTGAAGAAAGTATAAAGATGTGTAATAAAGATATTACGGGGTTTCTCGCAGTTCTTGATGAACACTGAGTTCCACGAATCTGGGCATGCCATTTATTGTTTTTTCGAAGTCCTGTGGTTTCTGGGTTATATCCGAAATTCTGGAAATAACCATATTTTGAGTCTGTCATAAAAAATCATGTAGGTTGTTGGCCCTTGGTCTGATTAATGGCTCACTCGTTTCTTTGTCTCATCTCGTTTAGGCAGGGACCCAATACTGGATGTGGTTTATGCCCTAGATTTGGCATAAGAAAATAAATATTTTGAGTATTTTTCTGAATTTTATTTATAGCTTTAAGTTCTTCCTGTATTTCTTGGCTCCTGTATCATTCCTAAAGCTTAAGTTCGATGCTATTTCTCTGACCAGTGCCTTCTTTTGTATTTCAGATATACTGTCCCCTTTCGCAGCTGTGTTTCTTCGGTTTCGCCTATATAGGGAGGATGTGTCTTGCTCATTAACTTGTTGGCATTTCGTAACATTTTCAACATGCCTCAATGATGTCTGTATTATCTACTTATCCCTAACACTGCAAACGTCCTTCAAAATTATGTAAATAATTGTTTAACTAGTACTCTTTTTAAGCCACATGCTTTGCATCGTACAACTACTGGGCGAGGAAGTGTTGGAGATAGTAATAAGTAGCGTCCTGAGAAGGTATAATAAGCCCACGAGGCTGTGAATCGAATTCAGCAGCCACAACGTGGTAAGCACATGTATAAGAAAGATAAGGCATTCTTCCTGTCTCTCAGACCCCGGAAGCCTCCTGGGTCAGCCTCTAGCTTAACAATCATTCCTTTCTGGGCGACTCTGCTGGGATGGTCGACTTTCTCTAGTCATGAACTTTGTGGTCGTTCCCTTGATCTGTGACACACAAGGTGTTGCCTCCTCTCAGGATCGTAGTTATAAAGATAAGCTGGGAAGCAAGACATATGTTCCCAATGATAGTGTTGAGATTCTTGACCTTGTACTAGTCTCGCTTCCATAAATAAATACAACAGTCGACAGTGTTGTTGTTTTATTGGCCAGGTAAATATTCCCTGACGCCGATCTGTCAGATATCTTGTTCAGTAGTTGAGAAACCCCTGGTTTAGTGACGCTAGCTTTAATATTCCCCTCTTCCTCATATAAATACAAAGGCTAACCATATAGTGGTCTAGCATAGTATTCCAACCAACGGACGGTAGTTGAAGTGTATGTAGCTCTGAGAGCGGAAGACGCCAGCCAGGTAGAATGGCACCTTCATTCCCTACCAGCACGCGTCTCAAGACC